GACTCTGCAGACAATATTTTGAGCCTCCTAAAAATAAGTAGCCTAATTCCAGTATACCAAACCAATGTGAGGGACAAATGGTTAATTCTTGTCATTGACATGAAAATTAAAAGTTTATCCTGTTTAATGTACCAAGTCAAGAGTGCATTACTGGGTGGCACTAAAATTAGGATTAAGTAAGGACATTGGTATTCTATATATAGTCTATGATAATGAGCACAGGGCTGTAAATGGAATTGTTCACGACCCTAAACAAAGGTAATTATTTAACTTATACTCTCTATAACTATATCCTGACAAAAAGAAAAGAAATGGGTTGGGGGGGGTAGATAAATCTGCTCTGTTCTTTAACTCAAGCCTTCATGGTTCTGCTGTCTTTAAAATAAGTAAATGTTAATTTGTGATAAATGTGATGTTTTAGTATTTAGTCTTAACTTCGTTTGTTTCCTTTTATTTAAAACAATAAAAATGTGATTTTTGGTTGGTGGTTGTTAGACTGGTGGTACAAAAATGAACTAAATTAGAAAAAAAAATTGATTATATATTAAATGTAATAATTTTGAATTTTATCACTGTTTCTGGTCTTGTTTTTATGTTACTGTCTCTTTAAATGTGGCGGGCTGCCCTGTTGTTACTGTGCTGGAAACCCCGTACTGACTGCGAATGGACCCAAGATGGCGGAATACTCACAGCGGGACTAGTTAGCAATTATCTGAGCAAGACGTCAGGAATGAATGGCATATAGCATTGTGCTGTATCGCATAATCCTAGTTTAATAGCACGATTAAAACTTCTTGATTCGGCTATTCAAGAGGATGCGTGAATACAATTATGGAGAGCGCGGTCTCTCCGCGGCCCCGAGCCAGAACATGGCGGAACACTTCGGGCAGAAATAGCGGCTAACACTTTAGCTTGGTGCCGTTATTATTCAGACCCAGATAAAATTATTGCCTTGTTAGATGACGCGCCGTTTTTAAAATACGGACTTGGAGTAATGTAATCGGTATAGGAATATGATAGTTTCTCTTCAACTGGCTATTTTGAACATTGGATATGTGGCTCGTAAGTACTTAGCACACTTGCTATCCAGTTTGCTCGATAGCGTTAGTGGCTAACGTTGCCCTCAAGTGTACAAACTGTACTAATAGGAAGGTGCCGTGTTTGTAAAGGTAGTGTTTGGTAACAGGTGGGCTTATTCTAAATATTCCAATTTTCACTGTAGGTTGTTCGGTTAATGTGTTTTTGTTGCCATTGCCCTCAGCAATGTAAATTAGTCGCTAGCTTTCTATCATGGTCTGCAATCTGATTTTGTGTAGTTTGTTGTCTGCGAACATGGTAAGATAAGTTCTGAAACCGTCCCCTTAACATCACCCGGTATCGTAGGGTCGACAGCGATATTGATCTGGGGTTTTCCTCTAGATGCCCATCCAGGTACTTCTCAGTTAAATAATTTGATAAGCTGTGTTATACAAGTAACCTGAACGTTGTGGCGTTACGACGTGAAACAGACAACACATAAAAGCCAACGGGAAGTCTCTTTTCGCCATCACAATCACCTGCCACGATGACGGACACTCGTCGGCGAGTTAAGGTCTATACCCTGAATGAGGAGAGGCAGTGGGATGACCGTGGCACCGGGCACGTCTCCTCGGCGTACGTGGAGCGATTAAAAGGGACATCTCTACTTGTGAGAGCTGAAAGCGATGGTAAAGTGAAGTAAAAGTGATTAGATTTCATGTGCTGATTTCCAAACAACAATTTCTTTCATTCTTTAATTTCGTTTTCTGTTAAACTTAACAGGTTCCCTTTTGTTAGAGTCAAAAATCAACCCAAACACAGCATACCAGAAACAACAGGTCAGTACAAATCATGCTCTATTATCTTTCTAAATCGCACCATTTCATATATTACATGTGGATTTTGTTCTTAAGGACACCTTGATAGTATGGTCAGAAGCAGAGAATTATGACCTGGCACTTAGTTTCCAAGAAAAGGCTGGCTGTGATGAAATCTGGGAGAAAATTTGCCAGGTAAGTGCGCTGCTTAATGTTATTGTGTTTTCTATAATTGTGTAAAGTTTAGTGAAAAATCTAGTTGTGCTTTATTTACAATAAACTATTATTCAAAGTTAGTGATTTAGTCAGTGACAACATTTGGTCCTTATAGTAGAACCACCAACAGAAGTGAAACCAAAGTAGCAAATTGTAAAAGCAGGCTGCTGTTTATTTTGAGAACTTTATACTTCAATAATAGTTGCAGTTTCTCATCAAGTGATTTTTTTTCTTCCCCTAAAGGTCCAGGGGAAAGACCCATCAGTGGACATCACACAGGATGTCGTGGATGAGTCTGAGGAGGAGCGCTTTGATGACATGTCATCACCAGGTCTGGAGTTACCACCGTGTGAACTCAATCGCTTGGAGGATTTGGCTGAGCTTGTGGCATCATCACTGCCGTCTCCGCTGCGGCGCGAGAAACTGGCATTAGCTGTCGAGAACGAGGGCTACATCCGCAAAATCCTGGAACTGTTCCGCATGTGTGAGGACTTGGAAAACAGAGAGGGACTGCACCACCTTTATGAAATAATTAAAGGCATCTTCCTGCTCAATCGCACCGCACTCTTTGAGGTCATGTTCTCTGAGGAGTGCATCATGGACGTCATTGGTTGTTTGGAGTTTGACCCAGCTCTCCCACAGCCGCGACGGCACCGGGAGTTCCTCACTAAAACTGCCCGCTTTAAGGAGGTTATCCCCATCTCCGATCCAGAACTGCGTCAGAAAATACACCAGACATATCGGGTGCAGTACATTCAGGACATGGTGCTGCCCACGCCCTCTGTGTTCGAGGAGAACATGCTGTCCACCCTGCACTCCTTCATCTTCTTCAACAAGGTGGAGATCGTGGGCATGCTTCAGGTGAGATGTTCAGAAAAGTTTTTATTGGAGATAAAATGAGAATAAAATTATTTGGTACCTTCCCTAAAATCTTTCTCTCTCTTTGTGTGATTATTAAGCAATCAAAAGCAGGTAAAACAAAAAAACCCCACAAAAATAGTATTTATGTGTAAAATTATACCATTTGTTTTTTTGGCTGCTGATGCTTGCCGTTAAAGCTACTGTGCCAGTCTTTTATGGTCATGTGACCTTTGTGTTTTTGTACTGTCAACTCGGCAGTGTTTATGTATGGCAGTCTCCATAGAGATGGAGAAGTGTTGTGTAAATCAGTAATGCTGTGGTAGAGGAGAACTGGAACTGGTCTGCCGTTGACTGTGAAGTCAACACAACTGATCCTGTGCTTTTCTCACTCACACAACTGTAATTTAAGTTTAAAAGTATAAAATAATTTGTTAAAAAATACTGTTTTCAATGAATAGACGTTTATTGTACAGTATCTTGCATGTATGTAAGCAAATAAAAACAAGTTACTAAATGTTTCTATATATTTCTGAATTTAAACCAGCCAATGATACTGTCATATTATAACACCTTTATTTTTTTTGTCGGTTGCAAAGTTGTTGGTATATTTGGATCTAGTTTTAAGTGTCTGGAGTTTGTTTGGTTTGTATTATTGTTTTTCTTTCTTCCAAAGATCATGATGTTCTTTAATTGAACCATGTTTGGAGAACTTTTGTCACCTTTCCTTTAATTCATCCTGACTTGTTGGAGGTCTTAATTCCTCTCCTCTATTTTGATGCCAGGACGATGAGAAGTTCCTGACAGACCTCTTTGCACAGCTAACAGATGAGGCTACTGATGACGACAAAAGACACGAACTGGTACGCCAGAGATTATTTGTCAACTCTCTTGCCTTTGTATTTATCATTTCCTGAGATTTTTCATCTTGTTGTCTTTTAGGTTAATTTCCTTAAGGAATTTTGTGCTTTCTCACAAACATTACAACCTCAAAACAGAGACGCCTTCTTCAAGACATTGTCAAACATGGGCATTTTACCGGCACTTGAGGTCATTCTGGTGAGTGAAGTGTTCACTGGAATTGACTAACTTTCCCTGATGAACTAAAAACCCATTGACCTAATCAATAGTAACAGGGAGTTCTAATTTGCCTGTTTTGTATGCAGTTGTTGACCACTTTATAACAGTATAACATTCTTCAAAGATGTGCTTAAGTAAAAGGATACACTTATGAAGACTGACATTTTGAGGTTTTCCAAGTAAGGAGCTTGGGTATTTCGTACTTCAGCGTGTACAATAGACAGCAATTAGTAGGGTTGGGCACAAACACTACATGTCACAATGGTATGGGCTTCTGTAGAGTCTCCGTGTTCGCATTGAAATCACAGCAAACATTTCATCATCTTATGACTGCTTCTGAACTGTCTGAGATTGTGAAAGTCTGTGTTTTGCTCTTTCAGCTGCAGTGCTGCAGACAGAGGTCTGAAAAAAAAGCATGGATAATAACCAGCCAGTGTTGTCAGGGTGGAAGTACCTGTGTGTCTTTCATCACATTGTTTCTTTTGTCTTTCACCGTTGTGATTTGACTGATAACTGCTGGAAAAAGTTTTTTTTCTAAAGTCTAATAGTGTGGTGTTCTTTTTTTTTATTGGGTGAACTGTAACAGAATCACTGCAGAAGCTTCCACTCCATTCAGAATATTAGCGGTTGAGAAGTCTATGGTGTTTGTTTTAGAGACGTCCGTTTATTGATCTCTAAAGAGAAGGTCACACTTCAGTGAGAAATCTGATGTTTGTTCACCAAACAGGGAATGGATGACGTTCAGGTGCGTGGGGCAGCCACAGATATCTTCTCTTATCTGGTGGAGTACAACCCCTCCATGGTACGAGAGTTTGTCATGCAGGAGTCTCAGCAGAACGATGATGTAAGTGTCAAACAACCTGACTTAATGTTACTTATTTAGCTGTCTCTCTTGGCTTGGCTTTTATATCCTGATAAGAAATTGGCAGCTTCTATATGTATAATTATCATTGTTTTCTCACCAGGATATCCTCCTGATCAACCTGATCATCGAACACATGATCTGCGATACTGACCCAGAACTAGGTGGGGCCGTGCAGCTGATGGGCCTGCTACGAACTCTGGTAGACCCCGAGAACATGCTGGCTACTGCAAATGTAAGCCAGTTCGATGTCCCGTCAAGTACAAAAACGTTATCATCATTATTTGTTATTGTCTTTTTAAAAAAAATGAAAAAAGTGGAAATGACAAACGAGAAATTAATTTTCCAAATCCTCTTTTCAGAAAACGGAAAAGACAGAGTTTCTGAGCTTTTTCTACAAGCACTGTATGCACGTTCTCTCTGCCCCACTTTTGGCCAACACCACTGAAGAGAAGCCCAGCAAAGGTACTAAATACCTGAGAAGTCGTTTTACGATACGTTAATTTGTTGCTGCATTTTCGACCCTCTGTGTAACGACGCGTCTTTTCTTCAACAGATGACTTCCAAACATCTCAGCTGCTGGCTTTGATTCTGGAGCTGCTAACGTTCTGCGTTGAGCACCACACCTATCACATCAAGAACTACATCATTAACAAGGACATTCTCAGGAGGGTACTGGTGCTCACAGCCTCACAGCATGCGTTCCTGGCTTTATGTGAGTCACACTGCCAGAAATAGCTCCCTTCATTAATCTCCCTCTGCCAGTGTGGACGGCCTTTGTGACTCCCAAGTTTTGGAACTCTGAAGCTGAATATTGTATCTGTACATTTGAAAACTCAGGTGCCCTGCGCTTCATGCGGAGGATCATCGGTCTGAAGGATGAGTTCTACAATCGTTACATCATGAGGAACTTTCTCTTTGAGCCTGTGGTTAAGGCCTTCCTCAACAACGGGTCTCGCTACAATCTCATGAACTCAGCCATCATTGAGATGTTTGAGTATGTCCGTGTGGTGAGTATCGCTTTATGATTTTGTTTATCATTTATATTTAATTTGTTGCTTTTGTTTTTTACTTCATGTGAAATACATATGTTTTCTACATGGTTTTGTTTCTACTTATTGTGCAGCATTTGTGTCTTCATGTGAAATACATATGTTTTCTACTAAAACTGTGTTTTCTCTGTGTTTCCTAACATGGTGGTCCTCTTATCAAGTCTACCAAATTTCTCTGTTTCCTAACTTGGTGGTCCTCTTATCAAGTCTACCAAATATGAATTATCTGATATATCTGAAGTTCTACTGCTTAGACAATAATGTTGTTCAATAAAATGTCTATGAAATATACACACTAGTTCCCCATTTTAATTTATTTGGTGTGAATCTGCTCTCTCCCTTCTTTCACTGTCCCTTTTTTTGTGGCTCTCTGTATCTCGCCTCCTGCTCTCTTTCTTTCTTTCTTTCTTTCTCTCTCTCTCTCTCTCCCCCTCCCATTGCTCCCAGGAGGATGTGAAGTCTCTCACCGCTCATATAGTGGAGAACTACTGGAAGGCGCTGGAAGACGTCGACTACGTCCAGACGTTCAAAGGCCTGAAACTGCGATACGAGCAGCAGCGGGAGAGACAGGACAACCCCAAACTGGATAGGTGAGAAAAAAAAACAAAACGTGGGGCGACTACCACTATGATTACACTGTCACTGATGATTTATCCAGTTGGGCGGTCCTCTGCCTGCAGGCATCTCCCTTTAAATGACAGTAGCAAAGTAAACGTGACATCTCAGTTACATCTCATCAAATGGTTCACTGCACTGTTGGAATAATTGGTATATTGTTTCTTGTGCATCATGTTGGAGTCAGGTGTCACCTGTAAGTATGTGTTTATTCTAAACAGTAAGTGTATACTGTTACTTAAGTAGACGGTATGTTTCAAATTGCTTTGTAGAAATCTGTACACGTAAGTCACACTGCACTGACTTCGTAAGTTCGACTATTGTAGTTTCAGTTCAGTTGTGCATTTGCACAGCCAAAATGCTTGTGTTGGGCAATTGTTAGCTCATCAATAACCATGGGCAAGTAAAGAAAATGTTTGTGACATTTATTTCCTGTAATCTAAAGGAGTTAAGGTTTATCTTAATGGTTTTATCAGACTTTGAGAGAGTCACACAAGACAATATTTTTTATTAACATCAAACACACATATGTAAGCATATAGCCTTGTATATATGCTTATGTGAATCATAAAACCACACTTCCCAGACTAGTTGGTATCAGTTCTAAAAATGTGAAAAAAGCCAAAAGCTCTAAATTGATCATTCATAAGCAAATATTTAATATTTAAAAATTTCCTCAAATGTTGCTGCACAAAAATACAAGTCCTGCTCTTAAGTCTCTGGTCTCCGGTGTACCAACAATAACCTGGACTACAGGCATGACTGTCCAACTGTAAACAACTCACTGTAATTTTTAGAAAGCCACAATTATTCTATATGTGGAAAAGATGTCCTGCTTTGTCCTGGTGAAAATGTCATGGAGTATTGACCTGACGGGAACGCCTCTCTCTAACCAGTGGAACTGAGCCAATCAGTGAACACAGGTGTCTGGTAAATTAACGTTCAAGTGAAAAAAGAAAAATTTAAATTTAAGTTTTTATTTCATTTTTAGGAGGTTTACCAACTTGACTGACAATGTGGTTTGTATGGAGGTTAAACGGAATGTGATGGTTTGCATCAAAAAATGTTAGATCAGAGACACTAACAAAGCCATTTAGATTGTAGGTTTGAAATCCAAGCAATTAAGATAATTAAGAGTTGATGTGCTTTGTTTGGAATCACTTCATAATCAGCTGCATGTGTTTTCAAAACAGCATGCGATCAATCCTGAGGAACCATCGTTTCCGCCGCGACGCCCGGTCTCTGGAGGACGAAGAGGAAATGTGGTTCAACACGGACGAAGACGATTTGGAGGATGGCGAGGCGGTGGTACCTCCCTCAGACAAGATGAAGACGGAGGAGGACCTCATGGAACCAATAAGCAAATTCATGGAGAGAAAAAAATGTAAGTTTCACTTTTAAAACCTGTGTTCCCCTAAAACCAGTCACCACCAGCGTGTTGTAAAATTATAACACAGAATTGGTGTTCACGTCAGGATCAGTGATCAACTCATCTTGTTAATTGCAGTGAAAGACACAGACGAAAAAGAAGTTCTGGGGAAGTCCAGCTTGTCAGGAAGACAGAACCCCAGCTTCAAGCTCTCCTTCTCCGGCTCCACTAAAACCAGCCTGTCCAGCCCCCCATCGTCTGCCTCATTGAATCCTGGATCCCCGGGTTCACCTGGGTCACCGGGCTCTGGGGCACGCAGCTCACCCTCCACCACCACGGTCACCACGAAGGTACTGAATGTGTTTATCAGTAACGTTGTCGACTCGGTCTTTGTTGCGTTGTTGATTTTTTCATTAACAAACTTCAGTGATTGTTTTGTCTCTGTTCTGTTCCCAATAATGTGTGAACTGTTGAGTTTTTCATTTCTCTGAGAGCTTTAATGATGAAATTCACACATAGACTGTCAATGTTCACACTCCTCCCACAGCGCTTTGGTGCTGTAATGTTTTTGTACTTGTTAACTTTGTCTAAAAAGAAAACGTAAAAAAAGTTATTTTGAATTTCTTAAGAAAACTAAATCTTATTAGTTCTTTTTTTAATGAGATGCCTGTCTGGATTAAAAAATATATCAGAACAGCATAAAGTAGACATACTTTAGGATAGTGTGTTTATGTTATAGATAAACCCAGATGTTCATGTTGAGAGGAAGTAATACTTTGTAGCAAGCCAATGCTAACGCTTCAATTCTATGATGACTCTTGACTTTAATTGTTGCTGTCCTTTGTTGAAACATTTGCCAAAAATGTGTCTGTAAAAGATGCTTTAACTGATTTTTTTAAAATACTGATTCTGCTTTAAAATGAACCAGCCTAGTTAAATGTGTGTCTTTTCTTTTCTAGGGAGGTTTAGTGGGACTGGTGGACTATCCTGACGATGACGACGAGGAGGAAGAGGAAGAGGAGGATGGAGAGAGTAAAGACGAACCGTTGCCACCTTCCAAGAAGTCCAAACTGAGCTCCTAAGGAGGCGTGGCTGTCTCTGCTCGTGCTCTGCTCGAACAGTATCAGTGCTTAGACTTTACACAAGAATGATCAAACTGGTAAACAAAACAAAAACAAAAATGAACGAGGGCGCGCCACACTCCTCCGTCAGCAGGCGGCCAATTGAGGAACAGACTGTGAATGTGTGGGAAAGCCTCCTCTAAATAGTTCAAGACTCGTTTATACAAGTGCCAATCAGGAGAACCAGTAACGCCTGCAGAGTAGAACGTACGAGCGAGTGACAGCCGCGGGGGGGACAAGGTCGCACTTGGAAGATATTTGGTAAACGAGGAGCGTTTGGAACTGAGCGGAGTTTGGTTAAAAAAAACAACAGCAACTCGAGGAAAAGACCACATGCCGGAACACGTACAAGCAGACTAAAATCCCAGAGAAGAGCCGTCAGGCTCGGAACATAGCCCACTGCCCCCCGCCCCTCACTCAGGGAAGGACATCACAGCGGCCCACTCGGGTCAGCCAATTCAGACCCAGAACCACAAAACGCACCCACTCCCACTGCTCAGAATCCTCTCTCTCTGCTCTTTCTCCCTCCTTGTTTTGTCTGTTGATTTTCATCCCTTTCTTGTTCCAGTTCGTTATGTTTCTAAGTTAGTACATAGGACCAGACGGTAGGCAGCGGGTGACAAAGAGCTGTCTTTGTACTTATTTGATGATGTCATCAGTTTCATCGTTCCTCAGCGGATGTTCTTTCTCTGACTAGAGAGCAAAAAAAAAGCCAGCAGTTTCTTCATGTTTTTTCTCCTCTGTTCCCTTTTTTATTTGTCTCCTGTTTCTGTTTGGAAATGAAAAAACACAAAAAAGACCTGCCTTTAAATGTTCAGGACGTTTTCAGTCACACTTGAACAGGTTTTTTAAAAAAAGACCTCAGTAGGTGAGCTAGTTTTATCCTTTTTGCCCTTTGAAACTGCAGATTTTTTGGAGAATTTGTAATCCCGTCTTGATTAAAGATTGAGTGGAATTCTAGATGTGATTTTTTTTGTCATATCTTTTTTTGTTTTCATTTTACATGAGTGTACACTTAGTTGTTCAGAATATTTGGGACCATTAAAAATGTTCTTTGCTGTAAGGTGTCCATTACCCTTTGTCCTGACTGGCTGATCAGAGAACGAATTCAACCAATTGTATCAACGTTATACTGGTGTGGGGAAAATAGTAGCAATGGTAATAAGCAGCAAAATAAGGCCATTCAGTGAAATGTTTCATACTTGTTGCATTCCCAAATTGTCCACCAGGTGGCTCTATTGCTCTATTTATGAGAAACATTAGGACGCGCCTGTTACCTGCCCTCATGGGTCTCATCATCTTTATGCGGTTGAGTTTCTCATTAAAGTTACGGCCTACAGCGTTCCTCACGGAAAGGAAAACTATTTTTAAACAGTTGTTCTTGGAGCCAAAGGCCAGTTTGAAGCTCTGAGTGGTTCGTCAGTGAAGTGATGACATTGAATTGGACCTAAAAGCCTCTGAACAGATAGATGGATAGACCTTTATTTATCCCTGGGGAATTTCCTTTGGGAAATTTAGGAGAATTCAGAACAGAACCGAAAGGTGATAGTTCCAAAGATAACCAACTGAAACCACTGAGGTCAAGATGTTTGGTTTAGAACTGGGCTTCAAAAATTATGAGAAATGTACATTGTTATGAAATAATTTAATGATTAGGTTTGACAACTGATAATGGGTTTTTAAAATGTATTTTATTTCAGGTTTCTAGACTGTGTGTTTAAGTTTTTTTTATCTAAAAATACTGACATTTGATTGGTGGATGAAATGAACATTTTTAGTAGATCATTTAAAAACAATGGACACTCAATGGAAAATCAACGTCAACACCTCCCCTCTCACCTCAGTGGGAGTCTGAGTGAGACAGAAAAACCAGCAGCATCAGGCCCACCAAGAAGTCACTGTGTTCTTCCTCCAAGTGCATTGTGGTCCTCGAACATTGCTTATTAATTAAAAACCCAACAGACCAGGATCACTCGGTGCTCAGTGTGCAGCAAGAGCCGTCACACAACGCCTATTAAGGCTCCCATTCACATGAAAGCCATCTCCAGACAACAGCAGCTTTTCAGGAGTGGCCCTCCCTGTCAGCCTCTGCTTGCTCCTCAGCAGGAGTGTGGCAGAGTGTGTGTGATCTCGCTCTCGGCCTCTGGAGAGGCCAGTCTGCTGCTGATGGTGCTGCTGGTGCCAGCTAATGCTCCACCAGAGAGCTGGCTCCACTTCCAGGGCCACGACTCCTTCCCCGGCTCGGCCCGCCTGAGTGTCTGCCAGGCTGAGGAGGCTCCATCGGAGATAGTTCTGTCCAGCTTCCTGCGGGGCCCATGAAAAGCCTCTTTGACAGCTCTCTTTATTGGCTTCGCTCCAGGAGTGTCCAGTCTGTCAGTTGTCAATTCTGTCCCTCTGTATGTCCATTTTCTATGCATTTGTCTGTCTCTCTGGTAAGAAACGTGTCCAAAGATCCTGGAGAAACTGCCAAAACATCGGCCCGCCTTAGATTAAAGTGTCAAAAAGATGATCACTGGAGTCCTGCACGAGATGGAACTACAACAAAAGAAGTTTCACTTCTCCTGAAGTGACGCTTGAAGGATTGGCTTGGAGAACTTGTAAAAAGGTGAGAGGTCAGACATGGAATTATTGGGCAATCCAAGAATAAGAAAGACATAAAACACAAGGAACACTGCCCCTGCTGTGTTACATTTAAGAGTAAAAAAGTAGAACATGGTCTGGATCATCCGTCATTCTAATTTAATCTAAATAATGTAATCTAATTTTCAAAACTAGATTAGATTATATAAATGACCTATAGGGGGAGGTAATGATCACTCATGTACAGCTCTGAAAAAACCTCAGGGAATAAACTTTTTTATAGTTTTAATCTTTTAAAACACTTCCCATGAAATGAACATAATTTTAAGGACTTGGATTAGTTTATTAAAACACTCATTTGTATCCTTAATCCCATTTAGACCATATGATTAAACCCTGACATGAAGCCGGAAATGTTGGCGTGATTAGGTTCGTTAGACCCAGCTGCGGTTGTCCAAACACCCGAACCAGCTCTACGTCCACACACCCCTGTGGTGCCCGCATATCGTGCAGGACAATGGCTCGTGTTTCCCGGAGACAATGTGTCCTCTGTGTGCGCTGCAGCCCCCCGACCTCAACCGATTTAACGCCGCTTTCAGGGAACATATAGGTGGCGTTCGGCGTAGCACGTCTGCGTTAGCTTAATGTGTGACCAAACATGGCGGTGACCGCGGGGAGTCTGCGGCCTCCGGGGAGAGAGGGAGACAGAGGAGTCCAGGTAGCCGCTGAGACGCCCCGGGTCACCAGCAGGAGCAGCAGCATCCGTCCGCAGCGGTGAAGAGAGTGGAGGGACGTCGTCAGCAGTCACATATGGTTCCCATTAAAGCAGAGGTGAGATACAGTCACGAACAGAAGTCCTACACAGTGTTCACGGGCTGCTCTTTTATGTGGCCTCCTGGATTGATGACTGACAGATGAATTAAGTCAAAAGGTCAACCTGCAGCCTCTTTACTGACGTCCTAATATCCCACACGTCCTAAAGCTGAGCCTGTGAGAGCAACTTTTACACCTAAGGAGCCTGCTCATAAACCGGACAACGGTTTCCCCAGTTGCTAAGGTTATAATTTTAGATTAGCACATAGCTTAGCTAGTAGCCATGTCCACCGAATATGCATGTGAATGACGTCTCTGTGTGTTTAATCTAGTGAATCCCAAATACTGTATTACAGCGCCCCCTATCTGTAGGTAAGAGTATTGTCAAACCACCTATGTGGACAAAGTGACGGCAACTATTGCTTCAGAAAAGAAATTAGGTTAGATGGTGTAACGGTTAGCACGAGTAGAGTTTTGGATTCGATTTCCAGACAAACTACACAATTGGCTCCTCCAGGGGGCAGCATGTAGCCGCAGATCTGCTGTTCACATAAGAATTTTCTAAAATGTGCAATAACCAAATTATTATTATTATGATTATTGTTATGATTATTGTTATTGTTGTTGTCTTTTGCTGTTCTGCATGCCCCCGCAATAGCTCAGTGCCCCCTGGTGGGGCCAACATTGGGGAGCAGGTCTTGATAACTGACTGGAGGAAAACAGTGCTTTTATTTTTTTTTTTAAATTCTCCTTGTCTCTCTCTCTTCAATCTTCGTCTGTTCCCTCTCTCTGTAGTTGTTTAATTCTCCTTGTCTCTCTCTTTTCAATCTCCGTCTGTTCCCTCTCTCTGTAGTTGTTTTCAAACATGAACTCTGAGTTCTCACTTCAGCATCATCTGCTGACTGTCGTGTTCAGAGACTCATTTTTGAGACTCCATCTTTCCAAAGAAATGGTCTATGGGTCTTTTTCAAGTCTTGAAGATTAAAGTACATTTACAGGCTGCAGTTTGTCCAGTTCAGAAGAGGAAAAAAAAAAACGGCTTAGCCAATCACGTGACAGACTGTGATATTGTAAACATTCGGGTCCATGTGGCTAGGCTCCGCCCTCGTGCCCTGTTGGCTCTGCTCATAACTTTAATTCACTGCATCTCAGCAGTAAAGTTAAGAGCTGATACAACAGTTAGTCAGCGTGCGTCATAAAGCAGCGCTGCCTTTTGTTTCTCGGTAGCAGGCCGCGGTCTCCTCGTAACTCCACGGCTGCTGTAAATCAGGGATAAATAATGAGCTCTCCCATGGAAGCGTTAGGAAGTGGAAGAATTTGGTCTTGATCTGCCATCGCTAAATGTTAAGTGGTTGGTATTGTGGCACAGCGTGGGGCACAGGAAACATGGATGTGAGTGTGAGAGCTCTTGGGCTGCGTTTTAAATGGAAATGTCACAGTGATAAAGAGCACACCTCCTGCACCCAGGCATGTGTGTGTGTGTGTGCGCGCGATGGGTCGGAAGTATACACTGGAGGCACGCTGTAAATCCACACCATGAGCTGCAGATATAACAGGACACACACTAACTCTCTTACACACACACACACACACACGTACTTGGATCTATTCCTAGAAGCAGGAGCTTAAATTTAACAGCACTCCAGTAATGTGTGGAGTCACACACTGGGAATCTGGCAGATAAAATCTGCCTTCTGCATAAATATCTGCTGTTATTAAAAGTGTGTAAAACTTAACACTGAATAAAATCATATAAAACCCCACTTCACTGCCCCCTCTGGGCACATTTACTGCGGCGGGCCGACGGTGGCTTTGAGAAATGAGGCCGAGCGGCGCAGCGCGGCGCAGCGCAGCGCAGGCGGTGACACAATGGCTTCTGTGAGGCAGCAACACAAGAGAGAGGCAGACAAACAACAAGTAAAAAACCACCCAGGGGCAAGAGGGTGAATGAGCGAGCCGTGATGCAGGAGCTATTAAATTTACCTCACGTAATGTGGCATGAATGAAGTCCTTAAAGGTATCAGTTTCCAGTCAATAAACAGGGGCTCGGACACATGGTTCAGTAGGAGTTGAACATGTGGGAGCAGTCTCTCCCTCCCTCCCTCCCTGCCTCCCCCTCTGTTCCTTACCTCAGGATACCACTGTGTACGTTTAACAAATCAAACCTCAGCTACACGTTAATGACTCGTCCGGCTTAAGGCTGCGGCCGGTAACAAAACACTAACCAAACACCATTTTCCCAGCACACAGTAGCGGCCAAGATGGTGTTTGACAGCTGAAATCTGTGTCCACCCGTGTTTCCACCGAGTGTGTGTGTCTAATCAATGGCTTTGCTGCGACTCTCTGATGGAGCCAATCCTGATGGCTCCCGCTTGTGAAACGTCTGGGGCTCCGACAGCCTTTGTGTCTCTGTGTCGTGTGGCGCTGGTGTCTGTGGTCATGCCAGGCCGAGTGTGTGTGGTCAGTGGGTGAGTGGAACCCTGCAGGCGGCCGAGGGCCGAAGATGCTTGGCTTCGAGTTAGTGTCGCACCATCTAGCTCAAGTCAGAACGTCTCCTGGAACCGTGTTCTACGCCCAGCAGGAAGCAGAATATATTGAATTTTGGGTTGAAAAAATTGGCCTTTTCCTTTATAACCTTGTCTGCTCCAGTTGGTTTTTGTTCTTTATAAGAAGA